TTTTTTTCTTACTTAACCTATTTGGATAAGTTTTAGATTCTCTACGGAACAATTAATAATATGACGTACTATGTGTATTGTACATTTGTACTTATATATTATTTCAAATAATTATGTTATTTTTAGTTTCGTCTGTTATCGTTTTTTCTACAAGAGTCAAGAAGGAGTGATCAATAAGTTGCTTATATAGTTATATATTAATTATAAAATATATCTAGTTATTTCTTTTTAAAAAGGTCAATTTTAAATGTCATCGTTTTATTACGGTCAAAGAAAATTTATCAACGAAGTTCGGATAAATTATATTATATAATAATATGGTATATTATCAATTATCATATGCATGTACATTTATTTTGTCAAATAAATTAAATAAATTTATAAAATGAATACAAAAAACGGGCTTCAATTAATTATTGTTAAGTTATGCATAGCAATGAACAACATGAAAATACCACGTGTAAAATATATAGACATAATAATATTATGCATTTAGAAAATACAATGTTTTATTTTAGTTTTGTTCTTATAAGTTATAGCCTAGCCCGCCTAGGTATAGGAAATAGGTTAACTTATACTTATACAATTTAAAATTATTATTATTTGACACACATACATAAACACTTGTGCTATCAACCAATACTAGATGAGTTGAGACTCGAGTAATTAATTAATTAATAATTATTTTTAAAATGTCATATCCGTTTTAAATAATTAAAAATTGAATAACGCACACCATTAATAATCGTACCTATATATGGTGGCTATATAGATTGTAATAGTTGGATTATTTAATAATATAATAATACCGAATAATTTTATTTTACTATATTAATTTTTTTTGATCACATATTTTGGAAAAACTTTCAATTTATTTAGTACCTAACTTTAGTAACAATACATATATAATACGGGCTCCTGACTCAGATGCTTGACTTTTAGGGCTTCAATTATCAAATGTAAATTACGTTCCTTCGTGTATTAATTAAACATGTACATGAATTTATTGAAATATATCCGAAGAGTGTGAGTATCGGAGTATGTTGATGTAACATCACCGCCTGCCACTCGCCATATTCAACAAGTTATTAGCTAATTAATATAGGTACTCTTCTTCTAATTACGAATTGTTTAAATTTAGGTATTGTAGACTATTAGCTTTCAACAAACACGATAAGCGTAGATGTACCCAAATATATTATAATATGTTTATACCTACTGCACATGATATTGTCACATCATTACAAGCAATCAATGTTGGTCAATATACTTTCATTACTTATTAGTTATTAGTCATTACCAATAATAGGTATCCTACTACCTAATTAAAAATTATGATAATAGAAAAAAGAAATAATAATAACACAATTAAAAATATTATAATAATATAATACCCAACCCTCGAACTTTGATGGCGGGACGGTGGACGTTCGTTGTACATGTAACTTGTGGATGTATGTTTGTGTGGGGGAGGGGGCTGAAGCACATAATAATTGTTTGAAGCCCACTCATATATTTTGTGTAAAAAGTATAAATGTATGTACCTCCATAATATTGTTAACTTAATATTTTTCATACAATTAAAAAAAGAACATTGGGTACCTACCTATAATGTTTTATGTTATAAACTAACACAACAAATATTTAATAGTGTTATTACTTATTAGTTATTACTATGCAACTGAGCGAGGGAAAAACGTCTGAACTACAAATCCCTTACAACTTCATCTAACTTTAAGGCCTATATAGTTTCACTTATATGCGAGCACCTCAACTTGAAAACATCGTGGTTAATATAGATAGATTATAGGTATACTATAATAATTGTTTACCACAATTCACAAGTCACAACGTTGTGCCGAAAAAATATTGTTGGTTGTTTAAGATTGATATTATAGACAATATTATACACAATACTCTAAAATAGTGTGTATTAGTGTCAGGCACGTCACCAAGGAGGGGGTCTTAGGCCCTAAGAAAATTCAGTGGCCCCGCGCCGGCCCCCTTGATTTTATTTTCAAATATTATGGCTATTAATTGTTAGTTTAGTACAGTAACACATTAATATTTAAATAATTAAATCTGTAATAAACTTAGACTAATAAACTCATAAAATTATAAACTTCTACAAAGTCTGTGTTATTCCATATTTTTAAAAATGGTATTATGTGTAAGGCAATTAATTAATAGAATATAAATAAAATAATTCATTCATAAATTCTAAAAATAATCAAACTAGGAATTTTTTTTGTAAATTATGATCTCTTTTAATATTGTCATCTCTTTACCTAATTAAAATTAACAGCCTACCAATGTGATAATTTATTTGGGTCTGTTGTCAATTGAAAAACATATTTCAAAATTAATTAATTTAGATGAATTTACTAAAAGGTTTTCAGTAGGTACATCTTAGAAACAGTCAAACAGATGAATTATCCTTGTATAATAATATTGTTTAAGATGTACAATTGTACCTATATTAATATATCATAAAAATATAATAGTTAACCAATACATGCAATATATTATAAAATATAATTTTTTTTTTATAAACATTGCGTGATAACTGATAAGAAGTTGAGTGGGAGGTTAGTGGAGGAGTGGAGGAGTGGTATACAACAAATAGAAAGGGGCCAAAAAATATTGGGCCTCTTATGGAAAAATGTCTGGCTACATGCCTAATTAGATTACCCTGAGGACGGAACGCCATTTCTGAACTGAATAATCTTTATATACTATATTATTATTAAAACACGAGGCGATTTCTTTGAACAGCTAAACAAAGCTATCATCGTCTATAATCATCTGAAGTTCTACTGGACCCATGTCCGATTTGATTTGTCGTTAATTATAATCATTGGCGCAAATAGGTGGGGGCTTGGGGGGGGACTTAGTTCCCCCTATATTTCTGCCAAGTCCCCCCAGTTCAAAAGTCAGTAATTAGTACTGAGCATAATATATAATTTTTAGAAAATATTATAGGAGAGGCTTTAGTGCCCCCAAAATAATTTGTCTATTTGCACCCATGATTATAATAGGTACCTACTATTTCAATTCATGGCTGTGACATAAACAAAATATGTAACTCAGAAAATTGTAAAATTATTAAATAAGTGGATAGAATTCGATACTTAGGAGTAATATTTGATATTAACTTGAGATGGAGCTTACATATTAATAACTTATTAGATAAGCTTTGTTTCATAACTTATAAGTTAGTCAAAGTCAGAAATATAGTTTCAATACATACAATGAGAATAATTTATTATGCACCGTATCAGTTTAATTCCAATATGGTATATTAGTATGGGGTGGTCTTCGCGATAACATACTGAATGCACCAAAATAATATTGTTGGAATTGTCCAAATAAATGTAGGTACTATTACAGAATCTACAAATGAAAATTACAGGGTGAAAATGTGGTGTTTATACTTATATAAAAAATAGTTATAATGCATTTATTGAAGCATGCTAAATTAGATAATCACTACAAGAACTTAGGCAATAAAAGAGAATTTATAAATTTGACTTACCCGTTAAATATACCAATAAATTTCTTGGTCAGTATTTTGTAGACCATTTGGAACCAATAATGTTTAATTCTATGTCATATGAATTCAAAATAAATACAATAATGGGTGATACTATGATTATTAAATATTATGTAGTACATACAAATATTTATTTCTGGAATTGGAGAAGAAAATTTTGAGTATGTTAAGTCTATTTGGTTTTTCTTTGTTTATTTATTTTTAAATGTAATGTTATATTAAGTCTTTTTTATATTATGCTTATATAGTTGTAAAATGTTTACAATTATATTGTTTAGATTGTTTATATTATTATCATTATCTTGTTATTTTCTTATGTTTTTTTATATTATTTAATATTTTTTAACAATAATAACTGCCTCTCTCCAACGCAAGCTTAAAGGAGGGAGATGAATTAAAGTTGTAATTTTTATAATGTCTTTTTTTGTTGGATTAATAAAAAAAACTAATGAAACCAATGAGTACAAAAAAAACAGTTTTTTTTTCCACAAATCTTCTGAGCACCAATATCTATCATATTTTTATTTATAATGTAAGTAAAATTATGTAAAGATCGCTTAGCAGAGACAGTAAGTGGTACAATCCGTTAGCACTTTGTCTGATAATACCAAGTTCCAACATCAATAGAAATGTTCAATTAATGTGTTCGTTAATATATATTTGTAAATGAAAAGTGTAAGTAGTTAAAATATTGTAAGCTATAACCTTTTGACTGTTTGATATGAGTTTGTCCGGTGATACATTTTTAGAAATTGCTTTTGTAGGAGTGTAGGACTAAACATATTTTTCAAACCACTTATTACCAACGGTCAATAGACAGAAAAGAACATAGACTAATAATATTATTATCTATAATAATTCTATGGAATTGAACACAAACTACAAAACCACGAAGATTTAAAAAAATGTAGTTATTTATTAATTTAATTCTTAAGTTAATTTAAAAACAATATTATGATTTGTGAAATTGTAACAACCATGTTATCTAAGGAATCACGGCTGATCTGTACCCTAACCACAATTTATTTGGGATTGTATTTTGTTGAAAATAAAAAATAATAAAAATGGGTATTACTTGATAGCATTGCATTATGATTTATGATTGCGATTAGGAGTATGCCATTGGCATTGACAATATTGACATAGTGCTAATAGTTCATATTTCATAATATCATAACATAAAAGTATGTACATTGTACAATATTAGTATTACTATTTATCTATGATGTAAGTATTTCACATTGTGACTTAAACATAAATGTCTGAAGTTTTGCCAGTTGCAATCAATTTGTTCATCGATGTCCACTTAATAAAATAAAAACAGTGAATGAGTTAAACATATTTTATTAGTTAGTATCAGATATTTTTTAATAAAACATTATCATATTAAAGTATATTATAATAAACATTCAGCATAGGTAATACATTGAAAATCTTAAAAATAAATTTAAAATTCATCTTTTATGTAATTAGTATGTTTTACAATGGATTCAGATGTTTTTATTATTGCAGTGGTCAGTTTGTACCAGTCCTCTTTTAGATGTTCTGGAATCTCCAATGAAGTGGAGCACCACAATAAGTACTATGAGAATAAATGAATAATTATGTTACAAGACATCGAACAAGACATTCATATCAATGTTATCATGAGCGTTCAATAATAACAGTAGGTATAACGTATCATTTATGTAAAATAGTAATAATAATAATATACCTCTTTCACTTCAAGTTCTAAAGATACGGCCAAATGTTGCCAGTAAGTATAGTCCCCATGCGGTTTTATTATCTGACGCTTCTCTAACGGTGCATGGAAAAACAAAAAAATTAAATAACGAAGACGAACGTTTAGGTACCACAGAGGTTATAATCTAACCTGGTTCGGCTCCGATGACCACTTGACTGGACTTCTGTATTTTCTGTTTGTCGGCCATTGAATGCGGAGTCGTCACAGTGTTCTCTTTCATCTCCTGCTTTTGTTCCTGTAATATAATCGAAATGTCATCTTGTTTTATACCTGTTATAATTCATTATTATTATGTCGACATCGACCCGAGTTGAGATATAAAACACGCTTATCTTACCTTTACCTTTATCTCATACTTATTGTTGGCGAGTGATTCCTCGTGATCCATATTGCCGTTGAAGTTCATTTTTAACTCTCGTAAATCGTGTCCAAAATCGAAAACACGCAAATGGCGAATGTTCAATGCTTATAGACAATATTATCAACAAAATGATAACTGATAAGGAAATAATTTTATCAACACGACCAACACGAACCGCCACGCACCACGATTAAAGAACTGGTTATGCAACGCAGGCTGGATCGGCGGTCAGAACTCGTTACGCCGTAGTTCCATTAAATTCCGAGCGCTGCTAAGCCTCCTCAAAAACATTCAAAGCACCCCCCCCCCAAAACCATGCAGAACTTTATATTTATTTTATTTATATAGCTAAATAAAAAAAAATATACCTATGTGGCTATGTGATAACTATACTGAAAAAAAAAATTATAAAATAATTTTTTTAGATTCTGAGCGGAGCGATGAATGTATTGGTTTTACAATGATGTATGTTTTTATATTTTAGATTCTGAGCGGAGCGATGAATGTATTGGTTTTACAATGATGTATGTTTTTTTTTATATTTTTATTTATATTTTTATTTATATTTTTGTGTCTGTCATCACGTTTTAGGACAGTAAAAATGCTTGGATTTTCTTCATCAGTAGCTTTTCTGGTAGGAAAGTGAATCTAGTTGGTACTTTGGGGGGTCAAAAGTATAAATTTCCCAGTAGTTTTCACAAGCGCCGGGAAAAACAACATAAAAATTAAGGAAAAACAGGAATTTTTACGCAAAATTGGTTTTCCAAAAAATCGATTTTGGTTATTGGTGTAACTCTAAAACAAATGAACGTATATACATGAAATTTTTACTGGTTGTTTATATTTGCATTTTCTATACACGATAACATTTTCAAAATATTTTGATTTATTTTGAACTGTTTAGGGACATTTTCATTTTCCATTTTTTTTTAGTTTTTTTTCTAAAAATATCAATAAAATTTTATTTATTGGTTGCGAAAGCTTGAAAATTTAATAGAAGGTTCCTAATATGTTTTTTAAAAGGCAGATGAAAAATATTAAAAATCCTTAGTCACAATTTTTTTTTATAAGCATTTAAAGTTCAAAAATTGACAAAATATGGAAAAATCACGAAAATTAGCAAATTATTTTGAGTTAAGAATTCGTAAAAATTTTTCTATTTAAATCTAAGATTTGAAAATGAAACACAAGATTCCTTATAAGATTATCTACCTTTATCAATAAAAAAATCTCTACCGGACAGTCAAATTAAATTTTTATGAGCGTTTGAAATTCAAATTTTTACAACATTGGATTTTCACTCGATTACTCATGTAGCGATTTCCTTATTTTGTTGCAATTCAAAAACGAACAACTGTAGATACATGAAAATTTCACTGAATGTTTAAATTAGCATTTTCTATACACCATACAATTTTGAAAATATTTTGACTCTTTTTGAGCTGTTTATGGACATTTACAGCTTTCAATTTTTTTTAGTTTTTTTTTCTATAAATATCAATTAAGGTGTATCTGTTGGGCCAAAAAGTGTAAAAATTTAATACAAGGCTCCTGATATATTGTTACAATATCAGTTGAAAAATATTAAAAATACATAGGCATGATTTTTTTTTATAAGCATTTAAAGTTGAAATTTTGACAAAATTTATCAAAATCTCGAAAATTATCAATCGTTGGAATTAAAAAATTATAAAATGTTCAGTTTTTATAACTAAGAGTTGAAAATTTAAAACAAAGATTCTCTTAAATAATTCATACTGTAACCAAAAAATCTAAAAAATATATAAACACACTTATTTTTTACAGACATTTTAATTTCAAATTTAGACAAAATTTCATATTTAAACCAAGAATTACGATTTTAGTTATTTTGTTTTGATTGAATAATATTATTCGTGGGTACTTGAAACTTCTAAAGTGTACTATTATATATCTATGATAGTATCACGGTTTTTGTTGATGTATAACGCGTTATAAGTATCTAATGGATATTGTGATATGATTAGTTTGTAATTTATTATAGGTACCTATTATAGGTCAATTTTTTGTTTAATACCATAGATATGTATATAATATGTCTTATACATAGACTGACATACCGTCACCGCTCAGAATCGTTTTTCTTATACAATGATATTATATCATTGAATTCAAATTTAATACCATCCATTATACAGTGCCCCACTTGTAACCTACTGTACAGCAGAGCGACATCCACTTGCCCACCTTTTTATTTATATTTTTATTTATATTTTTGTGTCTGTCATCACGTTTTGGGACAGTAAAAATGCTTCGATTTTCTTCAATAGTACCTTTTCTGATAGGAAAGTGAATCTAGTTGGTACTTTGGGGGGTCAAAAGTATAAATTTCCCAGTAGTTTTAACAAGCGCCGGGAAAAAACAACATAAAAATTAAGGAAAAACGGGAATTTTTACGCAAAATCGATTTTCCAAAAAATCGAATTTGGTTTTTGGTGTAACTTTAAAACAAATGATCTTAGATACATGAAATTTTCACTGGTTGTTTATATTTGCATTTTCTATACACGATAACATTTTCAAAATATTTTGATTTATTTTGAACTGTTTAGGGACATTTTCATTTTTCATTTTTTTTTAGTTTTTTTTCTAGAAATATCAATAAAATTGTATTTGTTGGTTGCGAAAGCTTGAAAATTTAATAGAAGGCTCCTAACATGTTGTTTCAAAGGCAGATGAAAAATATTAAAAATCCTTAGTCACAATTTTTTTTATAAGCATTTAAAGTTCAAAAATTGAAAAAATATGGAAAAATCACGAAAATTAGCAAATTATTTTGAGTTAAGAATTCGTAAAAATTTTTCTTTTAAATCTAAGATTTGAAAATGAAACACAAGATTCCTTATAAGATTATCTACCTTTATCAATAAAAAAATCTCTACCGGACAGTCAAGTTAAATTTTTATGAGCGTTTGAAATTAAAATTTTTACAACATTGGATATTCACTCGATTTGTCATGTAGCGATTTCCTTAGTTTGTTGTAATTCAAAAACGAACAACTGTAGATACATGAAAATTTCACTGAATGTTTAAATTAGCATTTTCTATACACCATACAATTTTGAAAATATTTTGACTCTTTTTGAGCTGTTTAGGGACATTTTCAGTTTTCAATTTTTTTAGTTTTTTTTTTTTATAATTGTCAATAAAATTTTATTTGGTGGGCCAAAAAGTCTGAAAATTGAATACAAGCTTTCTTATATATTGTTACAATATCAGTTGAAAAATTTTAAAAATACATAAGCACGATTTTTTTTTATAAGCATTTAAAGTTGGAATTTTGACAAAATTTATCAAAATCTCGAAAATAATCAATCGTTGGAATTAAAAAATTATAAAATGTTCAGTTTTTATAACTAAGAGTTGAAAATTTAAAACAAAGATTCTCTTAAATAATTCATACTGTAACCAAAAAATCTAAAAAATATATAAACACACTTATTTTTTACAGACATTTTAATTTCAAATTTGGACGAAATTACATATTAAAAAACCTAGAATAACTATTTTAGTTATTTTGTTGTGATTGAATAATATTATTCGTGGGTACTTGAAACTTCTAAAGTGTACTATTATATATCTATGATAGTATCACGGTTTTTGTTGTTGTATAACGCGTTATAAGTATCTAATGGATATTGTGATATGATTAATTTGGAATTTATTATAGGTACCTATTATAGGTCAATTTTTTGTTTAATACCATAGATATGTATATAATATGTCTTATACATAGACTGACATACCGTCTCCGCTCAGAATCGTTTTTCTTATACAATGATATTATATCATTGAATTCAAATTTAATACCATCCATTATACAGTGACCCACTTGTAACCTACTGTACAGCAGAGCGACACCCACTTGCCCACCTTTTTTTATTATTTTAGTAACACAATATTATAGCGGCACCTAGTATATATGATCTATGAGCGCGATGCAGTAGTTTGTGATAAAATATTATTATCCCAGAACCTCGACTATATTATTTTATATTATAGTTTTTATTCTCGGACCTCTAGCGCCCGCACTTGATAAGGATGGATAACTTTAATAAAGCGATTTTTTTCATGGATGGTGAATTGGTGAAGGGTGAAAAATAGTTTCTGAGAAGCAGTGATTGAAAAATATATGAGAGGTGGCCTAGGGCTGAAGCCCCCCCCCCAATTTTTTTTACTCTAATTGCGCCTATGGATTTGAATGTTTTTATTTTTAAACACAAGTACCTACTTTGTATAGAAGTACAGAAAGAGTAGCTCACTAAATATGAACGTAATGATGAAATAATTAATAATGCAATTTTTTATAATATGTTCCCAGGGCAAGAAAAAACATTTTTAAGTTTAAGCAGTGTCCAAAGACTGTCACTGTTTTCTGTTACTTTTATAGAATATTTAGATTCTTGAATATTCAAGTGGTTATTACTATACCTCACAGTTTGGTATACTAAAGCAAGGTACTATCGTAATAGTAAATTAGTAACATATATCTTGACAAATTTAAAGAGTCCAGTCTAATGAATTTTTATTATTATTGAACAATCTTATTTTTTTTTCTTACTGTAACCAGTGTAACCTCAGCTAGTATGAATTAAAAAGCTAATGTCGTTTACACGTATAGGTATATTGTGTTGGCATACGGTCGGCAATCGCATATTGTGTTTAACCCAAATACCTAACCCTCCACCGCTTAGTTTCGACCACCATCAAGAATTTTCACGACAATGTTGTTGAGACGAGAAATATGCACTTCCATGCGAATACTCCGCAAGGTCATCACAATTCGCAACAACTGCGGCCGCCGTGAGGTCAGTGCAAATTTTTTTATTTATTACGATTCACGATAATGACGTTTGCATAATCCGACAGTGCAATATATTAAAGGGAATAAGTGGGTATACATTGGCACCTTGTTCTGTGAACTGCACTGTTGCAATGTACCCGCATAAATTTTATATTGCATAATTGCAAATATTTTCGCGATGCTACGGCGATCGCCTATAAT